GAACTTGAACTTGAATCTGAATTCGTGAAATCTTGAAGACCAAATTAATCCAAAATCCTGAAGACCAATATCCTGGTGCTTCTATCAAATAAAACCTCAAAGTAGACCAATATCCTGGTGCTACCACGAAATTAATATCCTACAAATAACCTTGAAATAACCAAAAGAACCCCTAGATGACTCAGTTGGAAGAGCAAACACCAAAAAGGGAAGAGGTAAGATCAAGAGTTGAGGGACCAGATGTAGAACTCTTTCAGTACACAGCTGAAAGCAGAGCCAAGAAGGGGAGGAATGAAGACACAAATCAACAAACACACACAATCAAAAGAGAAATAAGTCTTGAGATGGTGAATTGAAAGACTTCAATCAAAGAAAGAAATGCCCTTCTTAAACAGGGACTTTGATTATCAATGAATTAAATTTAAGACCTTCAAGTCTTTGGATTAATAAGAACCAGGCTGAAATAGGACAATAACTTCAAAAATAGCACAATCTAGGCGCACTCAGGCACCTTCCAAATGAGCAAATGAGCTTACAACTCAACAAGAAATTAATTAAAAGATGAATAAGGGTCTTATTATTATAAAATTCCAACTCTCATTAGTTGTTTACCTGAATGATAATAATAAAAGATAAAAGCTTATTCTAAAAATCTAGTAATTATTTTTGCTAACTAAAAGGCTCCCAAAGGGAAAGAAAAGAGACCCTTGACTATATCAAAATTGAAACACACACAAAAAAAGAAAGTAAGACAAAAACAACCCTCAAACTCGAAATCCACCTTCAAACAACTTTTTCACACACAATTCATTGAACAACCCCCAAATTAAAATTGATAAACATCTTCAACTCACCCACATGTATCATTCACAAATTTTCAAGCATACATTTATCATCAAAACTGAGCTGTTTACCACAAAAACTGAAAAATCCGCCAATTTACCCTTAAAACCTGAAAAAAGATAAGAAATAGGGACTGTATCAAAAATCTGAATAGACAGAAAAAAAAGGTCTGCTTCCGCTCTACAACTTTGCTCAGCCAAGGTAAACTCTAACTGTATTGGTTGTACCCTTAAAATGAAATTCGATTTTATGTGAAAATACTCGAAATTGAATTTACCCAGTTTACCACCTGATATTACCACTGATAATGCTGTATATGGTTTATAATTGATTTTTCATGCTCAGATGCGCCCATATGATGCCTTCCACATGATTTACCCTCTAAAAAACTGATGTAGTACATTTGAAATAAAGTCTCATGATTGAAAATGGAGCCTTTTATGGAATTTTGAAAGCCATTTTCGAGTTTCAAAATCATCCTTTTCATTTGTGATTTTGTATTTGCCAATATTGGTGTTTGATAATCTGATGAATTTATAATTTCACACCAATCCCTACTTGCTTTTTCAGTTTACCACCCCAGTTTACCACCACCCCAGTTTACCACCATCTGTCTGAGTTGCTGGATTTTCGAAATTCAGCCTTATTTAAACCCATACCTCAAAACCATGATTCCTCTACACATAACTTGTTAAAACCATACACATCTGTAACCATGACTTTTTAAACCCATAAAATTCGAAATTTCAAGTTTAAGCCTGTACACCCTATGTAACCCATACAACATTCAACTACACATAACCTCTAAACCCATAAATTCGAAATTTGACTTCATTTTACACTACACCTCATCCATCAAACTACATAACCCATAAAAAGAAAAATAGAGAAATAAAAATATAACACTTCACATAATAAAACTTGACATATATGATCAAACTAAATAAGATAAAAAATAAAAATTGAAAATTGAAAATTGAAATTAAGTAAAGAGAGAAAGAAAATGAAAAAAAAAGAAATGAACTAAATAAAGAACTAATTTAAAAACACATTATTGATGTAATGTTCTAAAAAATGTAGTTTCTCGTATTTTAAAATGAAAGTTAATAAAATAATGGGGTTACCCCAATTCTGATTTCCACATCGTTCTTTGACATCGTCTCGTTTGCTCCCTACATTCTCGACTGACCATCGCGGTCCAATCCACGGAGGTTCAGGGTACGGATGTATTGTTTCTAAAATGTTCAAATGTGGTAATATCATATCAGCTTTTCTTAATAGTCTATGTATTGGACTTTGGTGCGTAGCTGGTGTTTGTGAGAGTTCGTGCTGAAGGATTATCCTCGATGGATGAGTAGATGGTGCCGTTAGTCGTTTGTATATGTAGTTATGGTGGTATCGCATTGCTGGGTTTCTAAATGTAATCATATCTGCATCATGGTGCATCTGGTCTGATGGTGAGCTTTTGAAGGCTCCCAGTGTTAGTCTATTTGCCGCATTCTGTAGTAGATTGAGAATTTTTGAGACTTTACCCTCTGTTCTTTTATTGAACCAAACAATGCTGCCAAACAGAATCCTAGGCTTCAGTACCGCCGTTATGAGATTTTTAGTTTCCTTTGGACTTAAGCCATGGTAGCACTTGCTGATTTGGTTGAGTTGGGCCAAGGTGGCTCTTCCTCGTTGGTGCATTCTCCGTATGTGGGTACTGTACGTCAGTTTGGGGTCTAGCCATAGGCCTAACCACCTTAATTCTGTGGTTTTGGGGGTAAGTACTTGGTTTCCAAACATCAGTCGTGGGTTAGCATGTTTTCGATGTGTGAAATGCATGACCTGGGCTTTCTTCTGATCAAAAATTGCACCATGTTGTCGTCCCCATTCTAGTGACCTATCACCTTTGTCTTCCAGGTCCAGGATGTTGACGTCTATGTCCTTGTTGGCTACGAGGTGAGTTACGTCATCAATGAAACCAAGGGATAATTTGTCGGTCTGTAGAGATACATTTGCGTCAATTAACAATGATGAATTATAGATAATGTACAATATCACTGAAAGTGGTGATCCTTGAGGAAGACCATCTTCAATTTTAAAGTCTTCCGATAAGTAATCTTGCAATCTCAAGTTGGTTGTTCTTTCTTCTAGGAAGGATCCAATTTGGAGAACCAGGTACTCCGGGCACGCTTTGGTCCTGAGTATATGTAGCAATCTCTCCCTATAAACTGAAGGGTACGCTGATTTGACGTCTAGAAAGAGTCCAGTGACTACTTTTCCCTCTCTCCACTCCTGATGTATCCACGATGTCAGGATGACAAAGGCATCATCGGTGCTGTGTTGACGGCGACCTCCCATGTGGCCTTGAGCTACTGTTCGGTGGGTCTCGGCCCAATATGCCATTCTTTGGGTAAGGATTGTCTCGAGTACCTTCCCCAGGCAGCTCAACAAAGCAATGGGTTGGTAAGCTCCCGACTCTGAGTAGTCATCTTTGTCGTTCTTTCGTAATATTGCCGTAGTTGCGTGTCTCCATGTTCTGGGGAAATAGCCAAATTTTAAGCACGCATT